GTGTGTGTGTGTGTGAATATTTTCAAGCTGTAGATGGTTGAATGTGTGGATGTAGAATATGTGGCTATGGAGGGCTAACTGTAATTGCATGCTGAGTTGGGCTATTGCAGACCTCTGTTGAATATGAACACTGTGCAACTGTCTATCTCCCAGTGTGTCTTCTTATTTTCCCATTGGGCAACAGGGAATGAACTGTAGCTGCTTCTGCAGTTCTAGGAAATCAAGTGGTATATTGAATTAGGTATATACTGGCAAATAGTTGCACACCAACCAAGAATGTGCTCTTACAAGGCAAGAATTCAGCTGATTATTCTCAACTAGAGTAAATTCATTGTACCAATTGTTGAATGATGAGTCAACACATAGTAAGTCCAGTTGATTCAATTGTTCTACTCTCTTTTAGACTGTTGTGAAATTATTACACTTGTAAAATTCCACTCACACAACCATAAATTGAATATTCCCATTGCAAAATGTCCCAGAAGTACAACTATAAGGAAACTTGCACATGTATAGGATATCAACAGGATTCTGTCCAAGAACACCCACATCCTATTTTAGGGCATTGTCACTGGACTCCTGTTGTTATTTCCAAGTAAAGTAGATTCATTGACCTCACTGTTAAGTGGTGAGCTAACACGTAAATAGCAACAATTCAGTGGGTCTCCTCTAGCTGGGGAAAAATAGGAATCTGATCAATATGACCAGACATCTTCTAATTAATGTATTTTTCTGTCCTCCCAAGAAGAGACTTGGCAAATGTTAAGTGTGATTATAAAGGCTATCACAGGTATTCGATTTTCTGTCTTGCTATCTAGCAGCAGACCAATAAGCTACCAATGAATGAATATACTTGGAGGAACATGAGAAGCTGGAAGAGGACAAAGTAGGGCTCTTTTGATCAAGGAATTGTCCATGCCTAGCAGCCCATTGAACCAAGGGACTCTACGCTCAGTTTTCTCCCACAGCTCTCTCACTAAACACTTGGATCTGGGATGAAATGGCAGCATCTGTCAAGAGGTTTTCTAATTGGACTGTCATTCATAGGAAACAACAGCAAAGCTCTCTAAAATGATGGTTTTAATCCCTTAGTAGAAAGGACAACTTTCTCTAAGAATGCCCAAAGCCATTTTCACACATACACCAATGTGTGAAAACTCATTAGGTTTTAACACCCAGGAACAGCAGCCCTTTAAAAACCATCTCTGCCCCATTCTCATCACACACCCCTCAAAAATCATTCCCAGTAAAGCATCCAGTGCCATTATATGAATGTGTGGTGACATTTCTCGGCAGAAGAAGGGCATTTCAGAACCAATGTAAAGTAGAAAAGTTCTGCAAACAGATATGTACTTTCATAAGATCTGATAAATTTCCTCTCTTTTCTTTATACAAGGAGTATAAAGGCATCCCTGCCCTCCCAGAAAAGACATCTTGATCTTGTATTCAGGTCACTCTACAGGAGGACTGGACAACTGTGGAAGGCTAGTGAGCTGCATTAGCTCCTCAAGACTCCCAAATATAGTCTGATACTGATACTGAGGTTGAAAATACAGATTTTGTTGCTGTTAACTGCCCTCAACTTGACTTTGACTCATGGCACCCCTGTGAATGAGACAGAGCTCTGGTGCAGCAACAAAATACAATTTCCAGAATTCCAAAGCATTGAGCCATGCCAGTTAAAGTGGTGTCAAACTGGATTATTTCTGCAGTGCGGATGCAGCCAAAATGTCATTATTAAACATCTTCACTGCCGATTTAAATTTATATTAACATGGCCAGATCTTTGAATGCTGATTTAGAAGATATTCCTCATGAGGAGATGATTACATTTTCGTTAGAACCAAAAGGACTTGATACTGACAAAAGAGGCTGACTGGAATCCTGTTCATGACATATCCTGGCATAACCTGGAATTGCATCAGTGTATGTCACTTTATCAAGAACCAGCATGTTATAGTGGTTGGAGCATTGGCCTATGACTGTGAAGACCAATGTTCAAATCCTGACTCAGTCATGGAAACCTGCTAGGTGACCTCAGGCAAGTCACATTCAGAGGCAAACCTCCTCTGAACAAATCTTGCCGAGCTTGAAGGCACACAATAAGAACAAGAATGTATATCATATAAGGTGAATCTGCAGAAGGAGTTTTTCAGTTCTTTCTTTCATAATCCCCCCCTTGGCAAGGAAGTCAGAATTGCCAGCAGGAAAACATACCTCCATAGTCAGAGCAGAGAGATGATGGACAAATGTTGCCTCCAGTAATGCCTATATAGTCTAAATCAATGCTCAAGTAGTTACAGGCTCCATCTATTTTTGGCAATCAAGGAATGATGAAATAGCACAGTTAAAATCAATAAAAATATTACTGTAAGAGTGATGCAGCTTGCACAGTGCCTAGTAGATGACAAAACCACACAAGTTCTTACTAAAGACCCTCTTGGCTAGAGATTCTACCTATGTTCTTGATCTCCACTAGATTATTTCTTTTGGGGTGTATGCATCTGCAACCTCCTTTGATTTTGACAGAAAAATTTTCACCACTGTACTAATGTGGGAACTCTTAATCTTAAAAAATGATTTTCAAGGAAATTGTGCATGTGCAGAATTCTTCACCTGCCTCTCAAGGTTTAGATTCCCAAACAAAATCAACAGAAAGAAGAACCAGTAAAAAGTTAGGATCCTGAAACAATTATGGAGCAAATGTGTTGGGTTCTGTTTATCTCCATATGGTACATCACACACTGCAAAAATCCTGAAATCATTTACTATTTCATTCAGAGGTTGGAAATTGCTCCAGTGCCTTAATGCAACAGAGAAAGACAATTTTATCCTTATAGGCTTTTTAAATCTGATACTTTCAACCCTCTGTTATTCTGTGTTTTTAATACGGCTCGTTTACTTATTGAAAAAATTGTTCCAAGTCTGAATTATCACTGTTTTTAGTTTTCCTTTCTATTTCGTAATTGCTTTGATGTTGCCATTTTGATGTCCTCTCTTGATCCTCTGGTTTTAAATTATTTTGATAAAAAATTCCAAGTCTCTCACAAAGCACTGGATAAATAAAGTCAACAAGGGAGTGATGACAAAAGCAAACAACTTGGTAAGCTTCCATTATGTTAGTGCACTATTTTAAAATTCCTCCAGTAAATTTGGAATGCACATGTATTTTTTCCATGTTTGATTTCCAATGCAGAAGGCAGAATGGAAAAGAAATTGTGTGAAGTACTTCTCCATTGAGAGGCAGCATGGTGTAGTGGTTTCAGTGTTGGAGACCAGAGTTCAAATCCTCACCCAGCCATGTAAATCCACTGAGTGACCTTGGAGAAGTCATGTTCTCTCAGCCTCTGAGGATGGTAATGGAAAACCCTAACTGAAGAAACTTACCCAGAAAACTGCATGATTGGATTGCCTTATGGTCACCATAAGATATGGAGAGAAACCAGAGTTGTCAGACATGCCCTTCCCTATGCAAAAGTAAGTTTCTTTGTATTCCATGGAGATTAACCCTGCTCCAGTACAAGTGAAGCATGAATTTTGGATTTCAGATTTATCAATAGATGCCTCAGAACCCTTTCGATTGCTTCATTATGTCCATGGCTATCTCTCCACCACTTTTCCTCTTTTTCATCTTTCCTTTCCTTTGATCCTGGCTGTTCGCTTCTCTTTATCTTCTATGATCTTGCCTCTTTCCCCTTTCTTTCACTTGCTGTCTAAATTTATTCTCTTGTTCAGAAGAATTCTTCCCCCCTCCTCTTTCTCTTTCTCTCCTTGTCTCCAATTGCCAAGGGTTTTCAAGACTCTCCCCAGCTTCCCAGATATGTTTGGTTCCCAGAGCATTGACAGGTCTCCCCAGAGTATTAGGACAAGAGGAGCAGAAAACACAGCAGTTTAGATTGCAGAGAAAGGCTGCCGGGAGTCAATCTCAGTTTCAGCTCAAGCAGAATAAAAAAGACAAAAAGTCTGAAGTGGAGATAATCTACAGGCAAGAGATGGCGGGTACATGCTTAATCTAAAACAGGCCTGAGCAGTATTCATGCTGCTAGCAATACCTTGCCTAAGGCTTTTTTGCTATCAAAACTGTAGTGCTAAGAATAAGGCAAAACAGGGAAGAAAACTAGTGAAGCAGAAACAAAGATTCGGCAACACACAAATGCTATTAACTAGGGATGGGAAAACAATTTTGTTGAATTTGGCAGTCTCAACTAAAGTAGCCTTTTGTACTTCCCAAGACTCACTGGAAGGGGAGACATGTTCCGTCTCTAGAATACTCATATTTGCATGGCAGAGGGAGGTATTTCAGAGAAATCCAAGGTCCTCAAAACAATATGGACATATTGCAATTCAAAGAACTAAGAATACATACAAATACAAGTATACACTAACATTTAACAGTTTTTGGAAAAAAAATATACACAAGGAAAATGCATGCATAAATGTGCACTTTAGGAAACATGTTAAAATGTGTATAAATTCCAATGCAGGAAGAAAAACAAACAGAGGATAATGGCTGTAAATTCACTATCACAGTTATGTATATGTAACCTAGAGTTAGTAAAGGTAAAGGTGTTCCCCATTGACAAGGTTGTCATGTTGTATCCATAACTGGTTCATAGTCATGGCCCTTAGATCATTATGATCATGACATAATTGCTATGATTGTGAAAGTCCCCCAATCCTGCTTTACTGGGCAGCAGATGTTGAGAGTGATGGAGGTCTATTGATCTATCCTTTTGGGTGCAGCAGATTGATGTTTCCACTCCCTTCCCACCAGCAATCTCCAATGCAAGGAAGAATTCCTACAGTGATCCTGCTTCTAACTGTTGTACTGGAGACTGCTGGCAGGAGGTATGTGGAAATGTCCATTTTTGACTTATGGTGATCCTAAGGCAAACCTATCACAGACATTTCTTGGCAAAAAATTTTCAGAGGTAGTTGCCTTTGCCTTCTTTTACAGCTGAGAGAATGCAATATTCCCAAAGTCACTTAGTAGGTTTCCATGACTGAGTGAGGATTTGAACCCTGATTTCCAGAGTCATAGTCTGGAGTCAGAGTATCTCAAACCATTACACCACACTGGCTCAAATAACTTTGGTGCTTACACATCTGTCAGTTAAATCGAATACAGAAATCTAGACACCATTTGTTAAATTATTAATCTGCACATTTGTATATGTGCAATGCATGCATTTGGTATGCAGCTTTGCTTAATATACACTTGAGATTAATTTTACTAATGTATTGCATTCTTGAAAATTTTGCTTAATATACACTTGAGACTAATTTTACTAATGTACTGCATTCTTGAAAATTGTTTTACATCATACATATCTTTTTCTAGACTGAAGAACTTTGTTGCAAAATTTGGAGGCATACAAATTTCAACATCTATAATTCAGCTCTTATATTGGTTATAAGGTGCAAAGCTAGGTAAGCTTGCATTAACACATGAACTGAATTCATTTCTTCCTTATCCCAAAGTACAGTTCATTTACCAAAAAATATGAATGGAACCAACAGATTCTCTCCAACAATTCATGGCCCATCATTTAAAAATATGGTATTGTATATGCAATGTTGTTTTTCTCCCAGAGCTTGAGAAACTTATTTCTTGGGCTACTGTTCCTAGAATCCTCCAGGCACCATACATAAAAAATCCAAGTTTGACCATACAGTCTGCTTTGAGTTGAATGCATAGTATCAACATTTGCATTACTCCCTCCATACAAGCACAGCTGGAGATCAGCATAGATCGATCCTAAAAAATGACAGGCGTCCCAGGTGAATGAACGTAAGAAAAGTACACCTTTATTCTAAAGAGGATTTTTTTCTAATTCAATGAAAATATATCCTCCCTTTCCCTAGGGAGATGATGCCAAAGTGCTCTTTAAAGACCACTCCAGGGGGGCTCCTTGTTATTGTCATAAAATTTATTTCCTGCACACACTTTAAATTAGCATTGCTTTTCTTTTCTCTTTCTTGCCTTTCTTCTTTCTAGGATGACTATGTGACAGGTCTCCCTTGTTTTAGCAACCAAAAAATGAGCCATCTAATTCAATTTTTCCCTCTCAAGGCCATCTGGCAGGTTCAAAGTTTTGATCTGGTGATGGCTTCTCTAATAGTTTTCCGGTGGTTTCTTTTCAAACGTCTAAACATAATCCCTGGTCACTCAATTAACAACCCTCATCAGTGCACCTTTTTGCCATCCATCTGCTCAAGGTTGTCTTGAAATGACACTAACTTGTATTTGGCATTCATAACTGTCAGGCTCACCTACAACATAATCCACCTTCTGTTCCAGACTAGAAAACAGATTTCTCTATTTTCAGTCTAAAGATTGTCAACAAATCTCTCCTTCTTCCTCCCCCTCCCCCAGTAAAGGTTTTGTCCTTGGTAGCCGTAGAAAATATTGCCAAATGTTAAGGTATTGCAGACTTTGGCCTGGTTTACAACTGAAGACACATATGACATACAAATACATGACCATAGCATTCAAAGCATGTCTTCTGAGTGTTGAAAAGTGGGTGGCTTTGTGTTATTCAAAGGACCCTGAAAACTACTTGATTCCAAACAAAAACTGTGTCCTTCAACAATCCTTATTTTCCAGTTGAAAACTTTGACTGTCTTACCTGGGCATCTCTCCTTTGAGATGCTACTTGACCTGCAATCCATATATATATATATGGCTAAGATTGTACATCAGGGTTGCATAGTTGTAAATCTCTGGGCTAAGGATGTAATTCTTCACTAAGGCTACATCTACATTGCAGAATTAATGCAATTTGACACCGTTATAACTGTGTCATGTCTCAATGCTATGAAATTCTGGGAATTGTAGTTTTGTGAGCTATTTAACCTTCTCTGTCAGACAGCTCTGGTACCACAACAAACTACAAATCCCAGGATGCCATAGGATGGAGCCCTGACAGTTATAGCAGTGTCAAACTGCATTCATTCTGTAATGTGGTAGCAGCCTTAGTTTCTTCTCAAATGAAGCAATGAGAGATTTTCTTCACACTGTGAGGAAGTCTTCAAAACTACACAGGTTTCAAAGAGTACTCACAATTCTGCATAAAATTTAGATGTAGCTGTTTTGCAGACTATATGGCAATTTTTTGCAGGAAAGAACATTTTCTGTTCAGGAAGCAACATTTTCCACACAGAAAATGATATTTATAAGCAGAAATGTTATTTCTTGCACAGAAAATGCTATTTTCCATGCGAATCCCCATGTACAAATTTTGTGCAGAATAAGTCCCCAAATACAACAATTTGAGGCAGGAAACAGAATTTTCTGTGCAAGAAAAAATATTTCTGCATAAAACTATCATTTTCTGTGCAGGCAATGCTGATTTCTCTGAAAAATTCCACACAATTTTATGTAGACTATGTCCAGAACTACAAAGAGTCTTGTCAGTTAAAGATTTTTCTCATTAGGGTTTCTCAGTACTTGAAAATTGTGCTTTTTGACCATTTTTGACCATTCATTCTATCCCTATTCTCGGTGTGGAGTTGCATGTTACTTCTGCTCCCATTGGCTTGACTGGCACCATTGTACAACTGAAGAAAGATGTTAAATATGCAACCAAATGCACTACAAAATGGGCATGCACATCTATGTGAAGTGTACAGTCTTCACAGACCAGTATGCAGCAGCTGCAACTGTTGAGAATCAGGGATAAGAAGATGGAGGATGCCTTTGCTGCAGGTTGTATTACTGATGTCTTTGCTTCTTTAACTGCTGGACCACATTGGTTTGAAATATAAAGCTCTCCATGGGGAAGCTGCACACAACAGAGAATTGGTTGGTCAATAAGAGATTTCTTTTTCTTAGTGAATGGTATGCTGAGGTTAAATGAAATGAAATTCACTGCTGGATTCTCTTCGTTGCCATTTCAATCACACTGCAAATGTCACAGCTTCTCCTTTTGACCATTTCAGATCCTGGTTGCTCTGCTAACAGTTGGAGGGAAACAAGGGCAATATGGACTGAATCCAGATATGAGCTATCCTTTCTTGTTACAGTAGGATAGTTCATGTCTGTATCCAGGAAGTGTACCCATATCTATATCTATATCTTCACAGCCAGGACTGGGAAGAGCAGAACCTATATTCTTCTTGACACATTACACAAGTACAGAGGTGGCAACTATGAAGCCCTTTAGATGTTGTAGGACTAACAGTAGATCTGGCCAGCCTAGCCAATAGTGAGGAATGCTAAAAGTTGTCTTTCTAGAGGGCTTCATGATTCTTACTTCTGCACAACAATCTGTCTCTTATCTTGTTGTGGGAGATGTTGTCCCAAACACCTGATGGGCACCAGGCTTTGCAGATTTGCACAAAATGTTAAGAAGAAATCTTCTGTGTCAGACAAAATAGCCTATTAAGTTCAGCTTGTTTCCAATCCTTGCCACGTTTGCATATATTTACCAAGTAGGGATGTGATGCTTTATTATTTTTTCCTTTCTCAAAGGAAGCAACAAAACATTTTAACAATTTTCTTCATACTATAGGAAAGTCTTCAAAAATTGTGCATTTTCTTCATACTGTAGGAAAGTCATCAAAAATTTTCTAAGACTATTCACAGATCATGGCTTATTTTGCACAAAATTCACATGGTATATTTTTGCACATAAAAACAACAACACCTTTCTGCATAGGAAATAATACTATAGAAAATAGTATTATTTCCTGTGCAGAAAATGGTCTTCCTTGAACAGAAAATGCTCTTTTCTGTGCAAAGCCCATCATGTGTGAATTTTGCACAGAATAAGCCCCGAACTGTGCATAGGCTTAAAAAAACTGCATGTTTTAGTTTAAGTGTGTCTTGCAGAGGGAATGAAATTGCTAAATGTACTTGTTGTTTCCTTTGGGAAGAAAATTAGTGATTAATTGCATTTCCAGTGATGACTGATGGTTCATGTGTCAGTGAGATTTTGAATCCATTGTAAGTATGAGACTGAACTATACAAGAACTGCTCAAGATGCAGAATGTCTTTGGAGGCAGAGTTCTGCATATGGAATCACTTCCCTCCCACCAGCAGTGAAGTCCATTTTGTTTTATTTCCATATTATCTTGCATTTTTTAAAAAAATGCAATATTTTCCATTTTAATATATATTTAATTATGCACTTTAAGCAAATCTTCCCTTACCATATACACATCTAAGCACATTTTCTCTCAAAGTGCAGATTTCTAAACAGTTTTCCCCCTGCACTCAAAATATGGATTTTTAAATGTATTTGGATACTTTGCTTGAGCTGAGAAGCTTGTCACAATGTTGGGAAGAGCAAAGCTAATAGAAAAGGATAACTATGCTTAGTTACATGTCCTGATCTGCCTGTGAGTTCCGGAGGCGTGACTCAAGAGAGTTTACATCAAAATGCACAAATATTGTATTTTTCATTACTGACATTTCGACAGTAATGAGCATTACCATAGCAGCAGGCTGAGCACTGTTTTCCTTTTGGGAGAAGACAGAGGCAAAATAGGTGTTGAACAGTTTCCTTTCATTCTGTCACCTAATTAACAACTGTGCCATCATATCCAACTGCTTGTATTTCTCTCCAAAACACTGCAAGTTGAAAAATTCAGACAGAACAAACAAAAGCCAATTTGGAGGCAGGCAAAAGTTCTATCTGTCCTTAAAGTGACTATCCAAATTGCAGACCTATGCACTGATGATAGGAAACCAACATGGTGTAGTATTGACAAGGACTCTGGGAGACCAGGGTTCAAATCCCTCCTCAGTCATGGAAACCCAACAGAGGACCTTGGGCAAGTCACTGTCTCTCAGCTTGAGAGGAAGCAATGACAAGCCTCCTTTGGATAAATCTTGTCCCCCAAAGCTGCCTATGATGACGTGCCTTAGGTCAGAGTCTACATGAAGGCACATAACTGAAGCAACAATTGCCAAACATGGGACGAAAAGACCATTACCAAGGTTCAGGAACCATATATTTTTCTTAGTCCTCCTCCTCCTCCTCCTAGTTTACTTCAACAAGTTTTTTTTTTAATAAAACATGGATATAAAGATCCCCCCCCCCCCATGATAAGAGTGCCAGCATAGTGTTTGAGTGT